GGTCAAACAAACACAAAGAAACAACACAAACAATAAATCAGTGAATCAGTCAAACAGACACAGAAAGAAACAGTGAAACAAACGAGCAATCAGTCAGTCAAGCAAACACACAAAGAAACAATGAAACACACAAACATACACAAACACCGAAACACAGAAACAAAGGTACAAGGCAAACAAAGAATCAACCAACCCAACCAACCCAACCAACCCAACCAACCAACCAGCCACCCAACCAACCAACCAACCAACCACCCAACCAACCAACCAACCAACCAACCACCCAACCAACCAACCAGCCACCCAACCAACCAACCAGCCACCCAACCAATCAACCAAGCAACCAACCAACCAACCAACCAACCAAACAAGCACATAAACAAGCAACCAAGCAAACAAACAATCAAACAAGCAAGCAAGCAAGGACTCAAAAAAGCAACAAGCAAACAACCAAACACACACGCGCACGCAGACACTCTCATCTTGGGACGTCGCCTCTTCATTTTTGTTTGCCCCTCAGAGGCGTGGGAGGCTTCGTGCGCGGAGCTGCTGCAACTCACAGTACAGGGCTCCGTGTCTGGGCCAAATTTGCTTCCATTTGCTTAAGAATATGGGTGTGGCTCAAAATTAAACAGCAGGTGTTACGCAGGTGTTGGTCCATGTTTCCACTTACCAGGGCTCCATTTTGGTACCAGTTTTTTGAGCCGCAGCCATATGTTGTCATAGGTGTCCTTTTTGGTTGTTTTGGTCGAAAAAAATAGAAACACAAAGATGGCGATTCCTGGTTTACCTGGTGGTTTAATCATCTACCAGGGCCATCTATTTGCCCGAAAAGGACACCTCTGTATGTGTTATTTTGTTTTGTTGTGTTTTTTGTTTGTTTTTCTCCTGTTGGTTTTAACAGGAATCTATCACAAGTGGGAGTATGCTTCTTTTTTCTAGGGCACTTGAGCAAATTGAGGTTTTGTATGAATTTCAATCGGCGACCCCTTTGGTGGATCCTCAATTCGGTTGGGATTCACCAGCCACGTTTGGGTTTCCGCGATGGCCCTATGGTTTTTCTACATGTCTTTGCCCTTGACTGAAATGATGGCAGCTCCTCTCCCTCTAAAAGTATGATGCCGGAACAAGCATGTGTGCGTTTTGCTTGTGCCTTTTCAGGTGAGGCACACCACAAGTAAAACACATTCACTTTGGGGAACCTCCAGTTATTATATAGCTTTTTTGAGTTGGTACCCTCAGGGCCAAACAAATACTAAACTAAGCCTCAAACAAAGAAACCCATGTCACTTGCCTGTGCTCAGCAGGGAGTCAGGGAATGACCCCTCTAAACCAGCCCTTGTGGTTTCCTTTAAGGGGACCCCATGGGTCCATCCCCCATTCCCTGCTGAGCACCAGCAAGTTAAATCCCTAGGTTGGTTGACCAAGGTGTGGGGCATCAAAGCGCGGCCTTGGCGCGACTTTGCGGGGCCCATGCAGTTCCCAGACCACCCCTGGCAGAGGTCGGGGCGGAACGTTGGGACGGCAGAAAGGTGGGGACGTTTTGGGGGAAGTTGGGAATTGGGAAGTCGAGTTGTTTGTTAAGGCAATGTTTCGTTTTTTGTTTGGGGGGATTTGGGGATGTCTTGGGACGCTTGTAGGGTTTTGTGCGGGCTTGCGGTTGGCTATTTGGGCTTTAGGTGATCTTTAGGGTCTTGGGATGATTTGGTCTGAGGGCTTGGGATGCTCCATTTGGTTCCCCTTTAGGCGCTGTTGGTTCTCAAGTGGGACGGGTGTAAAAAGATGTCGGTTTTCTGGGCGGTTTTCGCGTTTGGGGGGGTTCGGGGGCCGGTTTCTGTGCTTGGGTGGGATGCAGGTTGGATCGCAGCAATTCCTCAATTTGACCTAGACATCCAGCGGTGCCCTTTTGCCATTTTTTTTCAAGAGGGGGTTCCCCCCCAAAAGAAAAACAAGCAAACACACAAGCAAGCAAGCAAGCAAGCAAGCAAGCAAGCAAGCAAGCAAGCAAGCAAGCAAGCAAGCAAGCAAGCAAGCAAGCAAGCAAGCAAGCAAGCAAGCAGCAAGCAAGCAAGCAAGCAAGCAAGCAAGCAAGCAAGCAAGCAAGCAAGCAAGCAAGCAAGCAAGCAAGCAAGCAAGCAAGCAAGCAAGCAAGCAAGCAAGCAAGCAAGCAAGCAAGCAAGCAAGCAAGCAAGCAAGCAAGCAAGCAAGCAAGCAAGCAAGCAAGCAAGCAAGCAAGCAAGCAAGCAAGCAAGCAAGCAAGCAAGCAAGCAAGCAAGCAAGCAAGCAAGCAAGCAAGCAAGCAAGCAAGCAAGCAAGCAAGCAAGCAAGCAAGCAAGCAAGCAAGCAAGCAAGCAAGCAAGCAAGCAAGCAAACAAACAAACAAACGAGAACACACACACACACACCAAAACAAAATGTCCGAGTTTTGTCATGGCCACAGCAGGGCTGACTTGAGGAAGCACCGACTAGTTCGAAATGGGATCCAGGTTGGAATCAGAGGGTCTGTGTTGATCCCGGAATAGGGGGTTCCCCAACGCTGAAGGTTCACCCCTGTGTTGCCATGTAAGGCACGTGAGAATAACGTGGGTGTCTAGTAGTCCAGTGAAGGCGTGGTCGCAGAGGTGTCCTTTTTTTGCCCTGCTAACCCCGCCTATTTTGAGGGGTAACCGCCAACTTTGGGGTAGTAAGCGGGTTACGCGGAGCAATCGTCCTCAGGGTTTTTGTTTGAGCCACCAGGTTTGCCCCCCCCCCCTTCAGCAGCTGTGTGCTGAGACCAGTTTGACACTGGTTTCAGGTTGGTTCAAATCATCTAGGATCCCTTCCCCTTGTTTAAACTATTGCTTAATCAAACAGCGTCCTTTTTAGTTTCAAAGGTCCTGCTGTTGACGCAAGGGCTGCCCTGAGGGTACCCTGTTTCAGCTTGTTTCAAAGGGTGCAAAGGGACCCCCCCCAAATCCTGGACGGTCTTCATCATCAGGCTGTTCATTGTTTGTTGGTTTCCCTTGGTTTGGTTTTTCACCATCCCCAAGCCCGGGGGTCCTCCGAAATTCCGGAGTTTTTTCCTCGCCAGGCTGCCCTGCAACTTGCAGCGCTACGCGGGGAACTACCTGAACCTCCTGCTGGCGCTGGCCATGGCCGGTGCCGCCCAAAGCCGCCCCCTGCTCTTCGGTGCCTGCGCGATGGCCAAGGTCGATCCGTCGGCGCCGGGGAGTCGCGGATCAAACGGCGACACGGAGCTTTTTGGAATCCCGAAGGGGGCTGGTCCAAGCAAGGGTTCTTTAAGGATCCTAAGGCTAAGGAATCCTAGGGATCCCCAAGGAGCCCAAGGGCTCAATACCTACCCTCCTAAACAAGAATCACAATGTAAGGGTTTCTTGGTCCCCGTCCTTGGATTGGGGTTGGCCACTCCATGTTGGGCCCCATTGTTTGGGTCCCGGTATTGTGACACATACCCACATATACCCATCTGGGTGTGGCTCAAAATCAAAGCGCCACACAAAACCGCCGGTTTTTGTCTTTGGTTCCATTTGCCAAGGTGGCATTTTGGTGTGCCACAGCCATGTACATGAAAATTGTCCACCAAACTTCCTTCCATTTGCTTAAGAACTGTTTTTTCAGTTTCCCCTCCTGGTTTTCAAGGAAATCTATCATTACTGGACATTTGTTCTCATTTTTTCCAGGGGACTTCAAGCAAACGGACGCTTCCGTCTCAAAAACCTCGGCCAGAGGCAGTGGCTCTGCTGGCGCCCCCCGAGATGTTCGACGTGGAGCTGCTGACGTCCGCCCGGCCAAGTTGGCGCACCAGTGTCTCCCTGGCCCCCCCGTTTTTTTCCCCTTGTCTTCGCTGTTGTTGGCATTTCTGATCTTTCAAGTTCTGTTCTTTATTTAGTAGGGGCTGCAACAAATTGGCAAATGTTATTTTAAGTTCTGTTTTTTTTTGTAGGCCAAAAACGGACGACAACATATTTGCTCGGCCCCGTAGTTTGACACCCCTGGTGGCTTGGATTAGATGTGAAGCCCTGGAGCTTGAAGAGGGATGGGAAAGCACATCTGGCACTTCCGAAGCACCGGGCTCCAAACCGCCAAGAGGCCTTTCTTCTTCAGCCAACACCAAGATCGCTAGGATACACTTCCAGTTCACAAAAGTCACATTGACGCCCAGGTTGTTCCCAGGTCTCCAATCGAACTCGAAAGGGCCGAGTTTCCCGCCGAGGTCGGGCAGCTTTCGGTCCGTGGGTGGCGGGTGGCTCCGCCTGCTGCTGGCCGCGCTGGGGGAGTTTGGGTTGGCGGCGAGCTGTTTCTGCCGCAGCGGCGCGCGAGGTGGGGGATGCGGGGGACGCGGGGGACGGGGCCCGGAAACCCGAAGTTTGGGTACGCGGGGCCATGTGGAAACCTGCGATCGAGTCAACCCTATTGCTAGCAGAGGTTGATTAATCCGAGGTCAACATTATGTGTCAAAATACAGTGGTGGTTAATCCCGGTATTCACAGGGTTATGGATGTTTGTTTTCCTTTTGGTTGCCCTGTAAACCAACATGAAAAGGCGCACCTCAACAAAAGTGTTTGGCCGGTTTCATAAGCCCCATTTTTGACTTTGGCACCCATTTAATGTCCTTTGGGAGGAGATCCGGATTTTCTTTTTGAATAGCCGCACCTTCCCATTCAATCGATCCATATCTTCAGAGATGGGCAACTTGGCACTTTCTTGGCGAATTGATTTGCGACCCTCATGGAACCTGACTGGGGGGGCTCCTGGAAGACGATCTTGCGCAAGCTCCGCTCATTCCCGTCTTAGTTCCCACTCCACCCGTCCAAAACCCGAAAAAAATGGGTGGCAGAGGGGAGGGTGGTGTCTACAGGGAACGATGGGTGAAGAGAATGGGTGTGACTTACCGGTGAATGATCCCGGAGAAAATGGTTTGAACCAGCCCTTGGCATTTGAACAAAAAGCAAAAGGTTCAAGCTGATTCAAGCCCAATGATACTCGGTTCTTTTCATTTGCAGCCTGGGTGACTTTGGCGTTGGGCCAGCTTGAATTTTCGAGCTATGGCGTTGGGCCTGTTTGGCGCCCCTGGTAACCTCAATATCGCCATCAAAGTTGTTCCACATGCATACTGACAGGCAAAGGTGGATGCAGATTCATATATATATATATATGACATAACTTGCGAACAACGATGCTAGGAAGAATTCCCTTTTCAGGGTTTGTGCACATGAGCGCTTACTCTGAAGTGGGTGTGTGTGTGTGCGCCCGCAAAGGCATTTCGAGAACCCCGCAGATGCAACCACGGCAGAGCGTCCAAAGAACAAAAGAGCCCACCGGGCAACATCCGCGCACACACCCAGTACCTTTGAGGATTTTACTTTCGTGGACCGAGTCTCTGGGCCCTTCAAGTTCTTGGGCATGTTTCTTGTGGATTTCCCCCACATCCACTTTTTACAAATGCCTTGGATGCCAATTATACATCTCGACATCTTTTGGAATTGTGTTTGAGGAACTCTTTGTTGGTTTCGGTCGGGTTCTTGAGGAGAAGCAACCGTGAGGCCATTTGGCTTGGGGGAGTCCAAACCAATTCTAAATGTTCCAGACATGCAGACTCCTTGAAAGATTGGTTCACCTCAGATTCATGTGTTGCTCCCATCCCATGCGTTTGCTGGTCATTTCCTGTATGTTTTGATGTCTCCTGGCGCCTACGATTTGGACCGTCAAACTTCGACGGTCATAGACTGGGTTTGAGCGAGCAAAATGAGTACCTCATAGAGGAGCAAAGCCTGGAGGGAGAGTTTCTACCCAGATGGCCACCCCGATTTCAATGTTACCCGATGCCAGATCAGTGGCTCAAGCCGGTGATAGCACGCTTGAAAGTTGCGCCCAGGGTTTGCGTTGGATCCCGCGAAGCTTTTTAAAGAGCAGGCCTGGTTTACATTGGAACCTTCGAATGAAGGGTCCGTTTTTTGTGTTTGGATTCCTTGCCAGGACCTGTGTTGATTTGTTTTCCGCGCTCGTCGACTCCCTCGGTTTCATCTCCGGTGAATTTCTGGTGGTTTGAGGACCTCCAAAGCGCCAAGCTAAACCACCAAGAAAAAAAATGACTGAGCTCCAGCTTCCCAGGGGTTCAAATCAGAAGGGGCTCACTGCAAAAAGGCGGAAGAAACCACGGCCTGTTTTGAGGGTCACCTGATCTGCCAGGGGTTGGGGGGGGAGGGGCGAGAGTTCTGAGAAAAGTGAAGGATGGCCTCTTATAAACTGGACTGTTCAAAGGTTTTCCGGAAAATCCTTGTCTTGGGTTACGCAAGGATTTGGTCCCCTGTAGGAATGATGGACTACAATTGGAGCCTCCATTTTGAACAGCCCACTTAAACGCTGGTAGGGCTTACTCCCGGTTGACCACTTGGTTGGTTGGTTGGTTGGTTGGTTGGTTGGTTGGTTGGTTGGTTGGTTGGTTGGTTGGTTGGTTGGTTGGTTGGTTGACAAAAGCACACACTCCAGCCGGTAAACGGGACACTCACCCCTCAATCAACTCGGGGTTTGTTAATCCTCGGTGCCAAATAACGCCCAGCCCACCCGTGAGGCGGCTTGTTGGGCGGGGGCCTTGTGCTGGCGCACGCTCTGCTTCGGACAAGGCCGTGGACAGACATGGCCAAGGACTGAGCCACCCAAAGCTTCACATTTGAAGTACCGTCAAAATTACTTCTGTTGAGTTTAGTATTCGGTGTTTCATTGATAGTGTGAAATGCACAAAACCATGGCAAGCGATAGGGGACTCTCAAGAAACCATACCCCTGGAGAAGGATGGAAACGCTGGAAAGCGATAGGACTCTGAACCTAAGTAGCGAAACGGCCGTAATTAAGTAATTTTGACCGTGCTTCATTTGTTTGTTCCATGCCATGGGGGATGTCTTTGAAGAAACAAAAGCAAAACCTAAAACCGTTTCAGGGAACCAAAGGGAAACCATCCACAGACCAAAGGGAAGCCGAAAGGAACTAGAAGGTGCCAACCAGCTTTAGGGGTTCCTTTAGTTTGAGACAAATCCATTTGCTTGCTGGTGCGGTAGGTAGGAAATGACCGAGTCCGGGTGAGTACGTAGCGGAATTCACCTCAAAACTCTCTGCAAGGAACCCGAACCAAGGATGGTGTCAGTATGGGGCCATTCTCTACAGGGTTACACACCTGTCCTCTTTGGTGGGCACCACCTTGTGGAAGCAGAGGTGAGTTTCCCTACAGGTAGTGGTTTGCATAGGGAATCCCTTTTTTGTGACCCGTTTTCATGGATTCTAACTAAATGGATTCCTTTGGATACGTCACACACACACACACATGATCGGTTGGCCTTGTGACCTTTGGTTGCAGGGATATCGGGGCATGTAGCCAGCTGTTTTTGTGGCCATGATTCAACAATGGGGGTTTGGGAGCCATGGGGGTTGTGGTCGGTTTTCTGTATGCGCGAGGATAAGGTGAAGAGTGCCAAGGAGCAGGTGACCAGGTTGAAGAGCCAGTGAGCTGAGCGCTCACCAAAGAAATCTGCAGGGTTGGGCCAATGGGAACGGTGAAACGGGTGCCATGTCGGATGTTCAGGAGAAATTTTAGGCACCCTTGGGACTCCCTGGCACATCCTTTGGAAGTTCTGGTGCGGAATTTCGTTTTTTTTGTTTGACGAAATCGTGTTGCCAGGTGCCCAGCCCTGGCACGAAGTCATTTTGTGTGTGCTCAGTGAGCATACGTTCAACCCTTGGGACCTTAGCCGCCCGGTGAGAGATTTCGGAGAAGGACAGGCCAGCTCGGCGAAGGAAAAGAGGAGCGTGCGCCAGGCTTCTGCAGGCAAAGATTTGTCCAATCCACTCAAGAAGTGAGGCTAGTTGGGAAGGAACCCTCGATCTTTTTCTGGAAGAGCTTGGTTAGATGCTCGTCATGTGGAGAATTAGGTTTCAGGGCCATTGTTCGTGATACCAAGGGATTCCAACTCAAAATGACAAAGAAGTCACTTTGGCATCACAAGAAAGCTTACTTCTCACAGCCATGAAGTTCCTCCACTCCAAACAAATCCTGCAGGGGATTGCCCAGTAAATTGGAAGGCACTGCGTCGCAGAGGACACAAATGGGTGTGTCTTGCAATTGGTTTCCTTTGGTTTCCTTTCAAACCCGACCAAAAGGGGGTCCCCAAAAAAAGGGTAGATTATGAGCAAACACAGCTGTCTCCGTCGCAGCTTACCAGCTTGGGGTTCGGCGAAATCCTCTCAAGAAATGGGACCTTGGCCCGATTTGCGTTTTTCTTGTTTTTTTTGGTCAGTTTGGCTGACAAATTGATGGCACTTGGCTTCACGGGTTCCAATCGCTTGCCAGTGACATCGATTGACAAAGCGTCCGGCCCCCCAAACTTAGAGGAGAGTGTTGAGGCAGCTGTGATTTACTGCTTGAACCAGGCCTTGGGTCACCCTGGCCTTTCAATTTGAGAGGGATATTGCCTGGAGGCCTCCTTACACCATCTTCGATGTGCTGAATAATATTTCTTATTCTCCCTTGTTGCTTTTGAACGGAATCAACTTCACTACTGGACATACCTTCTCATTTTGTCCAGGGGGCAAAAAAGCAAATGGACGTGGTGTTGCCTTTTTTAGACATCGCTCTTGGAGCTTAAACCGTCTCGACCAAAATGAATGCCAGCCGAGACGGAAATGGAGGCTGCGTCACACCCCAACCCTCACTTGGACCTGCGGGCGTTTGGGGACCAGCGCCAGTCCGGTTTTGATTTCTGAAAGGAAATGGAATTGCGTATGCGAGAGTCCAGATCTCTTTGCCACCCATTATTATAGGGGTCTCCTCCAAAACTAGTCTACAGCGTGTCTTTGTTTAGGGGACCCTCAAAATGGTGGTTTTCCTTTTGGTTTCTCTTCCAAACCACAAAAACTGGGAACTCTCCAAAAAAAGCCACCCATAGTTTCATCGAACTATGAAACCAGAGATGTGTGTGTGACGGGCGGCTGAGTTCGTTCGAATCGGCCTTCAGGCTGGGGGCATTGGTCCACTGGAGGCCCTCGCAGACTTCCAGGATTTGGTGCCGTCTCATCGCATTTTGGAAGTCACGGCCGTTTTGGTCACCGAGTCCCATCTTCAGCCGTCCAAAACCGAGCTCTTGGCCGTTTGGTCCATAGGTGGGGCCAAACAGATTGGTCCCAATGCCGACTTCCCATTGCAAACCAGCGACCCAGAAGTTTCTTCGAATCAACTTGTTTTGGTGGGCACTTGTTTGCACATGTCCGTAGAAGTTCCTGTAGCTGGTTTCTGTGACATTGACCATTTCAGTAGGTGGCTCTACTGCCCGGTTGAACAAGGGTGGTGGTACGGGCCGTGTAAACCTAACAACCCAGGATATGTTGTCCAACTACCCACTTTGGGTAGGTCGCTTTGACCAACCTCGTTCTTTTTGTTGTTGTTATTTATGCCCTTCCAATGGAGCTGTTGGCCGGCTGTCTTGATTCTCATCAGGATCCCAAGCACACAGGATGACGTAGGAAAATGAGGCCCTCGAAGATGGTTTCAAAACCAAACAAAACTCACCTGCAGGGGCCTCTCATATTGAGGCACACAAAAGGATGACGGTTGGGCCTTTGGGCACTCTGTAGTTTGCCCCCAACTTGTTATAATTCAAGTAGGTGTGGTGGGTCGATTCCTTTTTTGGGATCGTAGGGTGACTATTGAGAAGCTCCAAAACTGGCGTCCTTGGGCAGGGCTCCTTAAAAGATACACTTTGCCCATTTGAAACATGGCTTTTTCCAGCAAAATAAAGGGACACCACCATTTACAAGGCAATGTTCAGGTGTATAATGTAAGGATCCCTGTTGGGGCAATCGCAACTTCCCCGTGCTTTCGCAAGCAGACATCTGATTGGAGCCGAAGGCGGGAGAAGGTCAATTGAGCAGCGCCCCCAACAGTTGAGCAGCGCCCCCAACAGCTCCGAAGCCTCCCCACCCAAACCACCCCTTATCGCCTATCTAGGCAGAGACCAAATCCATGGATCCATAGCTTTCAGCTGTTGGGGAAGAAGGCGAGGCTATTTTAGTAGGTGGCTCTACCTAGCCGAATGGGGATTATAGAAAGGAATGTATGAAAGGCTGTCAATGGGCGAAGCGGGCGCTCAATCGAACCTGGCACGTTTTCCATTTCCCATGGTTCCCCCTTGGCGAACAGGACCTCAGGATTTCCGGGATGCCAGTGGTACTGGTAATGTGGATGGTTGTGAACTCCATTTCGCCCCGCCGTTCGGCAACCCTGGGTTTTGATTCGATTCCCCAACGGAAGCAACAAGCCTTGTGGATTCATTCCCATTGTTTCATTTCGTGGTGCGAGACTCGCGGATTTCGCTTTTTCATCCATGTCACTAACCCAATCGCAAGGAGCTGCTCCAGGGCCGGCAGCAGCTTCCCCAAGCCCAGCGCCGGCGTGAGCACGGCCTCCGCGAAAACGGCGGAAGGCCCTTCCGCTCTCTTGGTAGCCAACCCCAAAAACGGGGTACCTCCTGTCCACTAACATAGAGCCTGACGACTTTCCTTTAAAAGGGACCCCCCTCATGGGTTCCATCTTGGTGGGCAGGAGGGCGCCCTTCTTGAGTCTCGCCCAACCCTCCAGAGCGCCTGTGCTCTCTATGCGACGCGCGGTCGCAGAAAAAGTCGCGACTGACTCTCCCAAGATCCTGTCGAACTTGTCCCGGGAAGTCTACTTGAAGGGGCCCTGAAACCAAAGGAGAAGCCAGGAACCTCAAACCTGACAGCTTAAGCAAGCTGTGCTTGCCATGTTCTCGTGTTGCAACGGGTTTCAGTGGGAGTGCCTGAAAGCAAGGGGGTGGTATTCACAATGGTTTCCTTCCGAAACCACCAAAACAGGCCATATGGGCGCGTCTCAAGGTTCGCCAGACAAACTGGAGCAAGGATGTTCCGATGTCGCCAAGACTTGCTCGGTGGCAACACTTAGAGCTTCCCTTGTGTAGCGCCAAGAAAATGGGTCTTTGAGGGTACGCTTTGGCGTTACGGTGGACAGGTGGTAACGAACCCATTTTGGGGTAGTCTTCCAGGTTTTGCACAGCACGGCTTCTATCCCCGACTTCAAACATGATTGGGGAAGGTGGGGATTTCGACCCCCTGTCATTCCACGTCTAGTTCAAAACGAGTGTTTTTTAGGTTTGAAGGCTGGACACGCACCTGTGTTTGTTGCGAGGGCTCCCTCAGGTTGGTGAAATGGGAAGTCGAAAGGAAACACTGAACTCCACTACCGCAAGAGGGCGGTCTTCATGGTTTCTGCCTTGAGTTTCCACCTTCTCACTTCCCGAGTTCCTGGACTTGAGTCACTTTTTGGAAAGACCATTTTAGTGGCAAGGAACAAGTTTGGACTTTTTTTGGCCAATCCACTCAGGAAGTGAGCCTTCGATTCGGGGGGAGGGGACACGCACACATGATAATTACTATATTTAGTATTTCATTAAACCAAATGATTTATCTACCTTAAGGAATTACAAGTTCATTAATATTGAACGAGATTTCTTTTACCCGCGTGTAGCGTGCGCAAAGGCGTGGACGGACCGCATCTTGTTCCGGTCCAAGACGAGGCGCCAGCTTGCTGCGTGGGTTTCAGTCCGGGCGAGAAAAATGGGACGGTCCATGTCCCGGAAACCAAGAGACCCACCGGAATAAGGAGGAAAATGGATCTGGTTACCCATGGATTTGGCAAGGTGGGATTTGTTTGAACCTGAAGAATATCACCCAGTGTATCTGAGGCGTTTCGCCACTAATCACCAGATCCATTTCGCTGTGTTGCAAGGGTGGTTCCCTTGCCTGCACAGGGAAATGGAATTGGGTTAGGTGTGGTCCGCAAGAAATGTGCGCCTGGGGTCCCAGAAGCAATTATGAGGCTTCCAGTTTGGATGACAGGGGTTTGCAGATGAGGCCCATGAGATATGTGGCGTCCCTTGAGTACAGAAGCAACCCAGAAGGGGATCCTTAAAGGCACACTAACATCACTATATGGGGGTTGATCAATATTCCTGGCGCCCAAATGACCAAGGGTAACTTGTCCCATTTGCTGTGAAATATGTTTCTGGAAGTTTTCCCTAATGATCATCCCATGCAAAGGACCTATGCTGGGAATCACGCGGCTCAGCTTGATTTCGTTGTTGGACAGTTTGCAGCCAGTGAAGACATCCGCCATAGTAGACCAGAAGGGGCATGCTGTCAAGGATGCTTGACGGAATGGATTCCGGGGCTCCCTAAGCATGTGTGTTTTCCATTTTTTTTGTGATTAAATAATCTTGAAACACAATGACTCCATGGGTAGATGCAGCTTTTGTTGTGCACATTCTCAACCGTAAATTGGTGGCCACCTATGTGATGCATTTGAAGCAGAACCTGAGAGGGAGCCACTTCTCAGTGTTCCATGCATCCATCTGATGCACCCATCACATGCAAACTATGGGCAGGCCCGCCTCAAAGTCCATTTAGATCTGGCTGGAGGG